AACCTAAACCTGACCCTAAAGCTAACCTTAACCCTGACCCTAAACCTAACCCTGACCCTAATCCTAAACCTGACACTGACCCTAAACCTAACCCTAACCCTGAACCTAACCCTGACCGTAAGCCTTCATAATTGTGAGAAATAAATATGTTTTGGTTAAACTTGTTTGGACTTATTGTACAAACCTATTTAACATCCACTATTTTAACATAATATTATGGATAGAGTTTAATTCAGTGTTTGCAAGATTCATTTCAATATTTTTAAATGAATGTCTATATTGCCATGAAGCAATTAGGAATTTCTTGCCTGGGATCTTCCTATTGGTGACCTAATCAAAATGGCCGACTTGGATGTGGACGGAGTTGTATATCCATCCTTGGATTCCTGGGGGGGGGGGCATCTTACCCACGAGGCCGCTGTCCAGGGTGAAGGAGCGGTGGGTGAACATGCACTCGAAGGCCACCAGGTGGAAAACCTTGTTGACGGTATTGTGAGTTCCAACAATTCGAACATACCTGAGAAACGATTATAAACAGAGAAGCAACATCTCAGAGCAGGACAGCAACGCTAAAACAAAAACTAGATGTTGAAATAACCAAATAAAGTGCAGCCAGAGCTTTTTTTCCCCCTTTTCCCCCCCGCACGTTTAAGCCTTATCTGTATGAGACACACAAACAAAGAGCTTTTTTAAGATAACTACAGAAGAATGGGCTCCAATTCTCAGAAACAATCCAGAAACCATATTAATTGATCATTCCTAAGTTTTTTCTTTATGTTTTAATACAAAAATGTGCCACAAAGAATAACCTGAACCTACATTTAAACACGGCAAAATAACATTTTGGCACACTTATTTCAGAAATTGGCTAGAAAATAATTCAAAGCAGATTAGTGAAACAGAGGGAAGCTTAGACACACAGAAAATAGAAATTGGTGTCCGGTAAAAACCCAGACCACAGAGCCTTAGACGGGGGTTTAAATGGAGGCCGCCAGACGCAGTTCACCTGTCGGCCAACCGGGGGCACCGTGGAGCCACTGAACAGCAGTAGTTCAAATATGGAGGAAACTATCAACAACAGTCGGTCTGAGCTAACAGCTAACAATCTGAGGAAACAATCTGAGCTAACAATCTGAGGAAACAATCTAAGGAAACAATCTGAGGAAACAATGTGAGAAAACAATGTGAGAAAAAACAATCTGAGCTAATAATCTGAACTAACAATCTGAGCTAACAATTTGAGCTAACAATTTGAGCAAACAATGTGAGAAAACAATCTGAGCTAGCAATCTGAGCTAGCAATCTGAGCTAACAATCAAGAGCTAACAATCTGAGGAAACAATCTAAGATAACAATCTGAGCTAACAATCTGAGCCAAAAATCTGAGGAAACAATC